TGTGCATGTTCCCTATTGTTAGGAGTTTGTTTCACGCCGCTACTACCAATTATTCTAGCGCCTGAAATATAATATTTTTTTAATAAGAATATTTTTCAGTATCAGTTAGTATATTATTTTTAGTATAGAATCCAAAATTAATCATATATAATAATTAGAACAAATTTTTATTAATTAATATTGTAAAAATATTTTATTCGGCAGATTGCGTGGATTCCCTGAACATTGATGAAAATACGCTTTATATTAGCGAAAAGGTAACAAGTGCTTGAAAAAATCGTCAGTCCTTTTAGCTTCTGGATATTTCAGTGGTAAGAGCATGCTCCCGGATTACGAACGGTCAGGGGTTCGAGTCCCATCTCAGAGTGCCAGGGAGAAAGTGTTATTTTTTTTACATTTTTCATTAAAAATTATAATACAATTTTTGAATTGCGGTCGCTTGACCAGTAGATATTTTACCATAATTTAAACGTAATTATTTTTTTGGGATGTGCGCTCTCTTAAGTTTCAATACCTTAGAGATTTCTTGAACAGTTATTGTTTCAGAACGCCGATGCTATAGTTTCATATTTGTTTCCGGAAAAAAGGTTTTTCTCTTTTGCAATGTTCCCACTGGAATATTTGAGTCCCGTCGAGCGGAGCCAAGTCTAACTAGTGAGTTTATAAATATGGTTGTAACAAACAACTCGAAATTACCAAAGCAACTGAATTTAGTTTCATTTTAATTCAGAACAGTGGAGGACTGACCGTGCGCTGACCATCTGCTGACCAAGTTCTCAACTTTATTTAAGACTGACTTAGGTACTAAGTTGAGCTTTGGATATATACGTACTAAGTATATGGAATATTTTGTCTAAATCAGATTATATTCCAATAAGAATAAGGGTGAAGGCCGCATCGTTATTATGACGGAATTCGTATTTAATGTTTAGTTATATTTTTAATAATTTCATGTTATTATAAAGATTCGGATGTAACAAAGAAAAACACAACAAAGGCAAATGTTTGATTTTGAGAATAGAAAAACACAACAAAGGCAAATTTTAGGTTTATTTGCTGAATGGACCTGGGTTGTAGAAACCCATCTGCGTACACACTGGTTACAATTTACAAATCCTGACCACAGTTTAAGTAGCTGCCATCTAGGAAATAATGTGTTGTTTAACTCGAATTAGTGTAACTAACAACGTAGTTGATAATTGCTGAGGCCAAATAGTTTTTGGTAAACATACGTAAAGTGCATTGGGGCATATCTATCACACCCGGGTTAATATTTAATGTGATATTTTTTAACAATATTCTATGCCTTTCTGATTTCTGTCAATATTGTACACTATAAAACATAATTTATTTTATCTATGATAAATAAAATAAAAAAAAATGTACAATCAAATTCCTCTCATTATTTCAGAGGTTGGTGAAGAGAAACTCTGCAATATATCAAAGTGAATTAAATCCAGTGCAGTAGTAGTTAGAACCAGATATTAACCCCACGAATGTTAGTCTAGAGAGAGGTTGGTCTCTCATTTATCTCACATGAAGAAAATATTGAAAATGGAATACAGTGTTTATATCTATGCATATAATCATATAATATATAGTTAAATTACAATAAACTACATTAAACGAAAATAAATTACATTAAACGAAGTTTATATTTTAATTGAACATTTACATCGGACGTCAAAAACAAAAAAACAAACAAATTGACATAATAACTTAATAGGTAGTTTCTTTATTCTTTTAATTTTTAAAGAATAATTATGTAACTATACATTATTTATTTTGCCATAAAATAAAACTTAACGAATGGAGTTAATTGATAAATATTATTAAAACTTTAACTAAACTATGAATATATCAATATTGTATCACAGTTTTATTAATAATACGAGGGTCAAACTGAAAGTTCTTAGAACTGGCCACTTATAAACAATATAATAAAAAAATAATTCTAAAATTTGAAAATATAACTCTTTGCCAATATTACTGAGTATATATTTCATTCATTTGTCATTTGTTTTACGATTTGGCGGCAAATTGAAAATTGTCTGTGTCACGTCATCATGAATTTAACACGAGAAAATTTTCGTGCAATGATTTTTTATGACTTTCGATGTCATTTAAGTCAACAAGAAAGTTATGATAGACTACGATTGGCCTTTCACGATGAAGCCCCATCTCGTGCGACTGTTTACAACTGGTTTAATGAGTTTAAACGTGGTCGCACTAATCTCACTGATGATTTACGTGAGGGACGGCCTTCTACGGCGACGACTGAAGATAACATCTGTGTTGTGCGGCGTATGATAGAGACTGACAAAAGAGTGACCTATCAACAGATTCGGACAAGCTTAGGCATCGGTATGAGTCAAGTGCACAAAATCCTCCACGAACATTTAGCGGTCAGGAAGCTTTGCGCCCGGTGGATACCTCATAATTTGACTGAGGCTCAAAAACTCCATCGTGTGGATTGGTGTCGTAAAATGATTGAAAGATTTAACGGAGGTGACTCAAATGCTGTGTTCGACATACTAACAGGTGACGAAAGCTGGATTTACTGTTATGATCCTAAAACCAAAAGACAATCTGCTCAGTGGGTGTTTCCTTTCGAGGAGTTGCCAACTAAAGTGAAGAGAGATCGAAGTGCGGGAAAAAAAATGGTGGCCTCGTTCTTTGGAAAGATAGGTCATTTTGCAACAATTGTGTTAGAGGATCAAAAAACAGTTTCTGCAGAATGGTACACTACCAATTGTTTGCCACTTGTCTTGGAAAAAGTTCGAGAGAAACGACCTCGCAGTAGGATCCTCCTTCACCACGACAACGTTCGTCGCACACCGCCAAGCGAACGATCGACTATTTGGCGACATCAAACGTTGAATTACTGGGTCACCCGCCGTATAGCCCCGACCTCGCGCCTTGTGATTTTTATTTATTTCCAAAAATTAAAGAAAAACTTAAAGGAAAGCGGTTTATGAATGCTGAAGAAGCGGTGGCTGCGTATCGCGATGCCATTGAAGAGACCCCTAAGGACGAGTGGGCAAAGTGCTTTTCCCAGTGGTTCCATCGCATGCAGCGGTGTATTGACGTGAATGGACAATATTTTGAAAAGATATAATAAAACTAATAACTGGCTAATGTAATCAGTTTTTGATTTTCTAAGAACTTTCAGTTTGACCCTCGTAAAAAGGTTTAGTGATGTGGTAAAATATTGTACTTACATAGTATTATTCGAAATTATTATTATTTGACAGGGCTAAAATTTAATGATAAACCTTGTAACGGTGCGTCGTACCACCCTTATTTCGCCCTAGGCATGCAAACTTTTTGTCTTTGATCTTCAACATAATTTCTTTTTATTATTCACTTTTCGTAATTTGAAATTTTGAGTAATCCAATATGCTCTTTATGAATGTCAGTTCGTTGTTAGCAATTTGTTGTAAAAAGTGTTAAAATCTATTTATTATTATATGCTTCCGTTGTACTCACGAGTTTTAAATCAATAAATGTACACTAAAGTTATGTATACTATCAAATCAAATATAATTAAGTTAATTTACTCACCAAACCCGAAGAATAGGATTATGTAATTGTTCTATTTAACTATTTTAATATTTCTATTTAGGTAACCATACAAACTGTTTTTATATTACTTTTTTGTTTGTTACAGTTTTTTGTATACCCTTTATTAAATCTAGTTCGGTCAGCATTTTATTCATTTGCCTAAGCATCTAACCCATCACAACCTTGCTTATTAATAGCACTGTTAGGGTGATTAATTTTAAGTAAAGCAAAATGCATACATTTTAATCAATAACTATAAAGAAATCATCCTGGTTCTCAAGGTGAAATTGAAAATTTTAACGATGATCTAAGATGATTTTTATTAAAACACTGTTTCGTTGAAGTTATTTTGTTAACATTAATATAATGAAGTAAGTAACGGTGTAACTCTTTCCTTTGTCGTTTGTAATAATGATGTAAAGAATAATAAGTCGGTTCACGCTATCGTCTAAATAATAATAGGTCGGAGGAAAAGTTTCTTCGCTTTTTATATGAAAATTGAAAACATTTTTTAATAAAGTTTATTTACATTTAACTAAAGTGTGTAGGTACCAATTTATTCGCCAACTTTTTGCCATCTTGTAGATAGGGACAGGATCCCATTGCTATAGTAATTTTGGGGTTTCCGATCAAAAAACCGCGTCAAATGGTTTTGGCAGCACTCGCGTGATGTTAACCTGACATTGCCAAAAGAATTCTGAAGAGATGCATTAACATCTAGCAGCCAAACTCTCAAATGTTTCGCACTTCTTGTTGTAAGTGATCCACCAGTTATGCTGTCTTAAAAAATGGTCGGTTTTATTACGCCGTAATAAAGGTCCATTAAGTTTCTTTCAGTGAGCTGGTGAGGTAACCAAATGCCCCAAAACTGTTTTGTGATTAATCCCTAGTCCTTCATCTACGTCGTAACTACTAAAATGCTAATCATTTTGCGCTTTTTCAAAATGGCATCCATTTTATCCGTAACAGGGTGACCGAAGCGACGTGCATCTTTGACATCAAAATTTTCGGACTGAAAACGCTGAAACCAAATTTATGCTACGCTCACAGAAATTGCACTAAGTCCATAAATGTCACATTTTTTTCGCGGCTTGCGTTGTATTGTACCCAAATAATTCGAGAAATTTATAATGAAATTTTAAAATGTATTATCGAATTTTTCATAACGATCATTTTGACAGTAAGAAAAACAAATTAAAATCACACATATTCCTAATTTGAATTCGAATTTATCTACTTTAAAATTTAAACTATTTAATGATAGCAAAACCAGCCTGATACAAATTGACAGCCGGGAAGGTTTTATTATAAGGTTAAGCATACTAAATGCGAAAAGACTTTCCCCAACCTTATATCTAATAAGTCAACTTCCAGTTCCGTGTAAATGGTGGAAATTCGACTAGGAACTCCGTTTAAATAATAATAAGTGGACTCACGCTTCCGTGTTGTCATCCCTGGACTCGGAGCGTTCGGCATTGGCCTGACCGCGGCGGTGCCTCGCGCGCTGCTCGTCGCCCAGCCCGTAGAGGCCAGCGACCGCCGCCATGCCGATCACCCGCTCCCGCTACCTCTCACTGCTCACACTCACAGGCCCATACCGCCACTCTCGGTCACTCACCGCGCCCACGAGAGTGATACTCTCACTACCCACCACCCAAGCCCCAACATCACACCCTCTCACAACCTCCCTCAGTCCTAAACTGGACCTAGCATCACAACTCGTTCCTACTCTAATAAGCTAATTAGCAAAAATTTGGACGCATCATTTGGTACAGTTAGCTTCATCTAATAATCACAATGTTTTAATTATTGTATCTTGTCATAAGTTTAATTTTTTTTTATTAAGCCTGAGGCCTATCTAACGTGTATTGTACGACTCGGGTGGCCCGATTTGGTTACTGTTACTGGTGATGTGTTTACGGTACGCCAGCAGCATCTGTAGGGGAATTATTGTGTTTATGTATTGGTATTGGTTAAAAAATATTTAATTAGGTTCCCGCGTATGCCTCTACTATTGAAAGTCGAAATTGAGAAGTGGATGTTTAAAGTAGTTTATTCATCAATACTAAAGGATTTCCAATTAGCATTAAGGAATGTGAAAATGTAGGGATATATAATCTAGACGAAGCTACAACTCACTTTCCTTAATTATATTCGAGTAAAATCTACGATTTTTATCACAGGTTGATGTTAGAAGCTACAAAAACCGGTAAGCATAAAAGAAGTACTGAAGTCGAGGTCGTGAAAGATGTACATAAGAGCCATACGTTGTGGCGCTCGGTCCTCTCTGTCGACTTTACAAGAGTTCCGGGTAAAGATATAGATAAGAAAGTAGACTGAATGAATGTGAAACGGATGCAACCAGTTAAATGAGTACAACTGCTGCATGTAAACGACTTACACATACATGAAGAAATATGTACGATGATTGCTAAATTAGATGTAAACACTAATACAATGGTGTAAGTCCGTGTCTGGTGCTGTGGCGCAGTCACTGTGTTCCGTAGCGTGCACCGCGAAACAAGTTAGCGAATAATGTACAGTTTCATTTCGTTATAACTGAATATAATTTGCGGTGGGCCGTTTTTGTTGAAAAGATTTTGTAAATCGCAGCTATTGTAATGGTTACACGTAGCAACATACATCGTTATGACAATTTTTAAACATGAAATTGATGTGATTCATAAAGGGTAGGTTCATATCTGCCAGAAGATATACAAGCTTATCTATGGAAATATGCTCCAGTACCTCATGTGTTCATAAGTTTTAAGAAAAACTTTAAATATTATACTGAAAAAAAAAATTAAAAAATTTTAGAAATAAAAGTTTATTATTGAAACAAGTTACGTAACTTTTATTTCGTCTCAAAATATATAAACCGACCATCGGTAGAGTGTGCAAAGTTTTTTAAAAACTTAAAAATATATTGTACAGTTGATAACACCTAAACTATTTTATAAATCATGATAAAGTGAAAATATATTAATTAAAATTGAAATACGACAACTTTTTGAAATACTGACAATTTGTAGAGGCGAAATAACGAGCACGCTCTTGAATTTACCAGACCGTGATAGACATACAAAAAAGGTGAATGAAAGTGGTTATTAAATATGTCAATGGCTTTCTCGACGTAGCTTAGGCTGACATTGTATGAGTGAAAATTACTCTAATATAATTTATTAAAAGCTTTAAGCTGCAGCATTTTATATTTTATTTCTCTGCGGTAGGGATGTCCAATCTTTTAATTTGCATTGATCTTTTGGTTCGTATAGGATTGTCACCTAGTGAATTGACTCGCAATCTGAATCGTATTGCTTTGAATCGATCTCATTCGACTTGAAAAATGGTATAATATTCTTAAAAAGCAATAAAAATGCAAAGAATGATGCATGCAAAATGATGTAAGTATTGTTATATTTTAGGTTTTATAGTATTCAAATATCTTCGTCTAAACTTTTCAGAAACAATAACTTTGATGATCGTACTGTATCTAGCCTAATATGGTTATATATACAACATAAAGCTACAATATAAAAAAGTACATTCCATATGTTATAGAGACCATGTAAGCAACGTAAAATAATGCAGTCGAAATACTGGCATTATGTAGAACTTTCGGTGTAATGTTCACAGATATGAGATTTGACTTTAAAGATAGTGTCGGCACAAAAGCTGACAAAGCTTTTAACTTAGTTATCAATACTAATATCGCAAAGAGGAAAGATTTAATTGTTTCTTTACAGATACATTGATTATGTTCCAAACTTTTAGGTAGATTATAAAAATTCTTTCACCGATAGGAAGCTACAACGTTACGTAACGTTACAACGAAACGTTTAATAAAGATTACAACAGTTTTGGAACAGTTAAAGACTCGAGCTATTTTTATATTTAGCATAAATAAAAAAAAAAAATTGAAGTCAAAAAATAAAATAACTCGTTAAATGAGATCAGGCTAGATCTTTGTAATATACTAGCTTTTTCCCGCGACTTCGTTCGCGTAGTATAGTTACTTTGGGCAGCATATATTTGCAAAAACGCTGTTGATGATGAAATTACCTTCATGTTTAGGTTCCAAGATACTGCATTAAATATTCAATATGTTTCAGCGCTTTATCTTTGAAAACTTTAATTTTAAATATAGATTCTGTTCTGAAGTTTATACAAAACGTTATCTACGCAAAATTCTTTGCTAGAAACGTTAGCGCAGATTACTCTAGCATAAACGCCATCAAGTATAGCAAAGCTTAAATTTCTTATTAAATTTTATTTTAAAACTCACTACTCTAATATCAATACTTTAAGATTTAAAAAGAAATGGAGAAATTTGTCGTTGTAGTTAAGCAACTTTCGCAAAGGTCAGTCACGGGCTGGGTGACCAAAATGAATATCTCAAGCTACTCTGTGCTTCGGAAGGCACATAAAGTCCGGAAGCATTTGCAGTCGTTAATTCCCTCTAATCTGCATTGGGCCAGCGTGAAAAGTAATGGACCATCCTCCTTACCACCTTCTATAACGAAGGGATTGAGCCCATGCTGTAGGGAGTTGAAAGGGTTGATGATGAAATAATATTTCTATTTACAGTGCAACATATATTTTTTTCAATAAATGACTTATTACATTGCATATATATCGTCGTGGCTATATCGTAGAATTGACGATTTTATGAGGCGGCCAGCCATTTCGTGAAGTATTTGTATTTCATGAAATGGAAAAATCTAGCTGCCCACATCATGATGCCTGGCCAGATCAATTAATGATTTGAGTTTAACGATATGAGCGGCTGATAGTATGACTTCGTCATGATGTGGCCAAGAGTAAGTGATCATATCGTAAAATAGTAACGTTAGTTGAAATCAAAAAATAAAAATTTAAAAAAACATTTGTGCCTCAGTAAGAAATGTCGCATTGTTTTTGTGATACGTTTATTTAAATTTTTAAGTTATACTTGGAAACTATACTTCGGTGCTTACATAATATGAATGAACAAATGTAATAAAATAGGATCTGTAAAAATTATCAACTTGAAAATCTTAGGTTAAGACCTATCAATCCTCAATAAATTAATTTCTGATGAAATAAAGCGCTGCGATAGAAAATTTAAAGCCTGCACAAAGTTCTTTGATTAAAAAATGTAACATCACGATTTAGAATACACTCGCCATTAATTGGCCGAAAAGATAAGTTTTCTAGGCAAAAAAATCTGCGATTTAGAATTCATTTAACGCCATCTAGTGTAGTTCATATATATACATATAAAATATAAAAATATTTTTTATTTTGTAAACAAAATTAATGAATTTGAAGATTTTTATCCATTAAAATTTCAAAAATGTAATATTTACTCAAATACCAGTTTTCATTGCTATACAATAAAATATTTTGTAAATAATATTAGGTAATTTTATTACAATGACAAATCAGATTGTAAACAATGGTTGCTATGGTAACATTTTTATTCCCCATAAAATCTTTTACTCCCATTTTTATTCCTTTAAGTGCTATTTTTCGGGATAAAATATAACCTATTGCCTTCCTAGGGTCATAAACTACCCAGATACCAATTTTCATCGACATAGGTCCATAAACAAAGAAGTTTCATACAAACTTTATCACCCTTTTTGACCCCCTTCGGGAAGGAATTTCCAAAAATCCGTTCTTAGTACACCTCTACGTATTAAGGGGAATGTTCCCTCCAAATTTCAAGTCTCTACGACCAGCGGTTTAGGCTGTGCGTTGTCTGTCAGTCAGTAAGTCAGGACATCTCCTTTTATATACATATGTATAGATACGAGTATAAATATAAATAAAAGGATCGCTTTAGGAAACAGTCAGTTATTTTGATATTGAAAACAGTAATTATGCAAGCGTACAATCTGATTAAGGGAAGACTGAAAATTGTGCATATTAGGTATATGAAATACATTTTACAGAATCAGTATCATAAAAATTTATTGCATATTATTTAAATAATACCTAAAACTACAGAACACAGAGAGAGATCTATGTTCTTTGCCTAAAACTAATATAGTGGCAAATTTAAGAGTAAATAACTAGTCAATTTCAGGATTTTACCAACTTTGCCCGGACAAATTATAGCCTATGTCACTCACGTATGATCTGGTTTCAAGTAAATGAAAGATTTTTTAAAATTTGTTCAGTAGTTTCAGAGTCTATTAAATGTAAATAAATAATCAAATATTTAATTTTTGAAATATTAATATATTGATTGACAACTGAAAAAAGTAACGAATATAAAGTCAGTGATAGGTCAGCGGCTTATTTTAACGAATCTAAAAGAAACAATTTATAAATAAGCGAAAATAGTTAAACTTGTTTTAAAAAACATCACGGAATAAGGAGATTTAAATAAGATTTTAAAATATATCTAAGTTTTCTTTTATTATCACCATTATAATGAACATTAATAATAAAAAAGTATTTGAAACGATGTAAATACAAAGTAATGTTAAAAAGAATAAAAGGGACCGTAGATAAACAGACTAAAGAGCATTTTCCCGTAATCCTCAAAGAAGGTGGCTTTCAAGGTGTTAAAATGCCTCATTCCGTTTCGAGAATTGTGTGGCCATTTTGAAACGTATTCTTTAAGACATAAGGTCCAACGGTTCAAGGCATTCTGAGTTTGCTGAAATGAATTTGCTTTGTGTATTCTCGTTCCGTATTTCAGTACGAAAGTCGGTGCGATTATTCCGTCTAAACATACAGTGTTTTGTAAAACTAAAATTCAGCTAAATAAAATTAAATACAATAATATTATGGTATTGAAAAATGTATCTGAGACAACATAAGGATTATTTTCGAGTGTACTTTTATATAAGAACAAGTTTCTTTTACGATATTAGTTATTGGGCTTCAATATTTCTATATGATTTTTAACATGAACGGATCAAAATGATAATACACAAAGATAAT